AGAGAGAGAGAGAGCGCTCATTGCACCCAACCTGAGAAACAAACGTGATTATTTGCGCTTCCGATAACCGTCATCGGGCGAATCGTTCGAGCGCGCGACGGAAGTGATCGGCGGAAGCACAGCCGGATTTTTCAAACACCAATCGTGTAAATAACGTCGACTTGTTTTCAATTCATCGAATGCAACGTATATTGCCTTCTAATAACAGCAGGGGTCGCCAATTACGAGCTATCGAAGTGCAAAGTAAATATAAATGGAAAATAGAAATGAAGTTGCACGTGTACGTGAGAGAAAATATGATTATAAAATATTTATACAATCCAACTGAATTGTTAATATAAACATATGATATATAACAAAAAAGAAAATCTTAAACCTATGTAAAAAAAAAAGATAAAATAAGAATTAATCAAATTTCAAACGAATCATCCTAAGTAGATTAAATAGAACGCAAATCATCATGACATCAAAATGGCTCCAAAATGATGTTAAAAATCATTTTTCAATCAGTAACGATCAGTTTCACTTAACGTCATTTTGATATTATCATGATTTGTTGTTCCGCTTGGGAGAACAACAGGTCACGATAACATCCAAATGACGTTAAAACGAATTATGATTGATCAAGAAATGATTTTAATAATCATTTTGGAGCCATTTTGACGCATCAAATCATCATGACTATTTGTTCTACTGAGATTTCCCTGTCATGTCTTTTTCTACTGTTAAAATCGCGAAAATATAAGATACATATTATATTTTAGGATAATGATTGTTTGGAATGCTGTTCAGCGCACAGAGTATAATTATCTCTTCCAGTGCAATCTGATCCCGTCTTACGGTATCTTGACGCGAGCCTCCGTCAGCCTTCGGAGCGGCACGATCGAGTTTGGGCCACGATGTCCAGGAGATTACGGGATACTCAATTAGAGGATTCAGTGTCATAGAATTCGAGAGCCTCGGATCAAGAGCTCTTATCGTGCGAGTAACTTTGGATATACCCACCAATTTCGCTCCGAGTATATCGGCTGCCGCTAGCCACAAGATAACGACTTCGAAAAATGTCGAAAATCGTTGTCGTTGGCAATGTCGACAAGAAAATCGCCCTTTGCTTCAGGTGCAATCAACTGCTAAACTACTGCGTTAAACCTTTTTGTAATTTTATCATATGCAGTACGTTCGTTTAATTATTATTTCAGTATAAAACCATAATGATTATTTTACTCCATAAGTTTGCTTTTTATTTAGCAGAAAGTGATCAAATAAATGCAATGAGAGAAAAGGCAACATTTTTCACCATCTAAAGATTAATTAATTCTTACTTCCGTGTGTGAAATGGAAAGCTTTTACAAAATTAAATTCTTTCAATGCAACAGTACTTTATACACACACACACACACACACACACACACACACATATACATATATATGCGAATAGCAGTTATTTTTCCGATAATTTAAACAATTATCGTTTCGATGTGAAATTAATTATTTTTAAAATTTGTTCTTTCGGAGAGCTTTTGCGTGCAGAATGCTCTGCAATATTTGTTTTAATTCGACACGCATAGCGATCTTTAAATCACCTATGCAAGCGATAAAATGAGCTTGTGCCGTAATGTTTGATATTGGGAAAAACTGTGAAACATCTGTTCAAGAAGCGTATGACGCTAGCAAGAGATTAAACCGTCAGAATGGCGATCGCGAGAATTTCGAACCGATTGGCGAGAGAGTGCTGTGCAAATCCTGACGCAGTCTTATCGATCCGAGAGAAGAGGCGAAATAACGAACGAACGATACGGTGCACAGTTTGTTGCGATTACTCCGGCTCGTGGCTATTTGTTTTCCATAGCGGTGCGGTAGCACCGAAATATCGGAGCCGGTGGCAGCGCAGAAACAATTTCGCGCGGCGCAGGAGTGACGGCTGAAATATCGCGAGGAATGTCATCTATCGTATATCACCCCGGGTATGAGTAATATTCACGTAAAACTCGAGTCCTTACGAGCGACATTCATCGCCCTTCGAAAACGTGCCGACAAGAATTTTTCCTCCTTTCTAGATGACGGATGACGTGGCTCGTCGGCATAATTAACGATATTCGATCAAGCAAACCTAGCTCGAACCTGTGTCAACTTTTAAAGGGCCGCCGAGTTGTATATATATTTGCCGAAAAATTTTTATCTAAGACAGAATTTCTAGTTGAATTTGTTGCCTTGAAATTACTATTTCAGATTGCAAATGTTAACTTAACAGTTATATATGGATAAATGATGATTTTGCGTCTCTTGATATTTTCTTTTAGAGGAGATAGACAAACAGAGAGAGAGAGAGAGAGAGAGAGAGAGAGAGAGAGAGAGAGAGAAAATCGGTGAATTCTAATTAGTTTTAATGAACGTCTATTTCGATTAGAAATGCTTTACAAGCAGCATAAAGTTTTCTGATCCTTTAGGGATTGAGTGAAGTCGACCGACAGGTAGTGTTATGTGCAAATGAATTGAATTCACTTGTGCTTTAAGTCGCATTTGTCCAACATGAGACGATAAGCCTCGATAAGCTATCAACAACTCTGAGTATCGCGTTCTGACCAGGTTTCCCTCAAGTCAAATCAAAGCTCTCCCCGCTATCACTACGTGACGGCGAATTATCGTTCTCGAGTATCGCTCTCGAAACTTTCGCGGCACTGTGTTCTAATCCGACGAATCTCGTCACGCGACCTCACCAAGTATGTCACCAGCTGCTTTTCGACCCAGTCTTAAAGCAACTTCTGTCAGGAAAAGCCCGGGGATCGAGACTTGCTGAAAGCTTTCAAACTTCGGACCCAGTAATCGAGACCATTGGAAATGCGATATAATTTCGGCGAATGCAATTCGATAATACAACAATTATACTGAATATATATGCAAAAAAAAACGAATCTCATCGCTGATCATCGATTCGAACGAATAAATATAGATGTCATTTTTGCGTGTCGACGACGCGCGACAGCGTCGAGGTTTCAACTTGCCGAGTTGATCTATGTCAATAGATTTTCCAAGTCCCCCTTTACTACAATCGGTAGCGTTGTAGATTCGAAAGTGTGCTAGAGGCATATACATACATTTCTGCTCGCATTCAAGGCATTTAAATGCCGGTCGGCGAAAGAGAGAAGGAAGATTCCTCACTCACCGGTCATCGTAGACGAAACCCGCTTGCAGGGTGTTGCAGTAGAGTGCCGTCGCGACGAGGGCGCAGGCTACGGCGAGGATATCCATGTCACATCGTGCTGTCGAGAAGGCTGGCGGCGACAGCGACGTCGACGGCGGCGGCCTCTTAACTTGTTGCACGTCCGCGGGCCTTCCTCCTGCACCACTACTGCTACCACCAGCAGCACCAGCACCACCGCCACCTCCTCCACCTCCTCCTCCTCCACCTCTTCCGCCGCCCCTACGTCTCCGCCTGACGCGGCCGGTTCTTCGCGCGGCGACGGCCGAGACGTCCGCCGGACGATCGAACGACCGCCGATCTGACGTCGCCTGCCTGGATGACGGATCCCGCGCGGGATGAATGTCGGTGATGCGTCCCCAAATACGATCCAGCAACGAAGCGGCTCCCGGCGACGCGGACGGACCCGGGTTCTCGATCTCTTCCGGCGCGGGCGGCGCGACCGCGAAATTCGATCGCCTCTTCACTTCGAGGTCTCACATCGGTCGTTCGCAAATTCAGAAGATCAAGTGTCACCAAGTTAAATATCGCTTGATCCCGAGACGAGAGGACACAACAACGATCGACGATCGACTGTGACAAGAAAGATCACGCAGCTTGTCCAAAATATCGCGATTGAGATCTTAACTCGCAAGTAATTATTGGTTCACGCAATGGTGAACCTCGAGAAGTCGTTCGTCGCAGTCGGCGCTTTCTTTCCGCCGACAGCGACGTCGCTCGCGCCAGAGTCGTTCTAATCATTCACGGACGCACGTTTATACTCCGTTATTCCGTGTGTGTGCGTGCGTGCGTGAGTGCGTGCGTGCGTGCGTGCGTGCGTGCGTGTGTGTGTGTGTGTGTGTGTGTGTGTGTAACTGTTACTCCGCTCCGAGAAGAATCGTGTTGGGAAGAAAGACTTGGAGGTGAAAGGAAAAGTAGTTGTTGGAAAAGGAAGCGGCGTTGTCGATTCGACGCTGCTACGTTCGTCCTCTCTTCCTTATCGGTCAAGGGACAAGAAATTCGTGTTCCCGCGAGTAGGCTACGAGGAGGAATCAGCGATCGAGCAAATTCAAGAAGAATACAACGCCGGTGTTTGGCGATCCTCGAGATTGGCGCGTTCGATTCGAGTACGATAGTAATAAAACGACGGATGGTGTACTCGCGATGGATAGCAGCGCTGTTGACATGGGACGCACTGACGTCAACGATGATGACTGCAACGACGAGATGCGATTGGCACGCGGCGCGACGCATGTTCCGGATGCGGAACGCCAACTGTCGCGCGCCCCTCGAGGACGAGAGCTTTATACGCGGGAGACGGGCATCGATCGGACAGGCGCTTGCGCTCGCCCGCTCTCCTGGTCCTCCTTCTCCACCTCATCCTCTCCTCTCCTCTCCTCTCATCCCCCTTTGCCGTTGCTGCCTCCCGCGACCCGCGACCCGCGACCCTTCCTCATCTCCTCCGCCACCACCGTCGTCCTCATCCTCCCTCGCGCAACGCATCCGCGACCGCTCGCAACGACCACGATCGCGACCGCGGCCAACGGACCGGATTAACCGCAACCCCGGGGACAATGCTGACCGATGGATGGTCCTTTTAGAAAATGACACACCGTAAGGGCCGCACCGCGATGCAGAATGCACGTGGCATGCGGCGGTGTACCAAGAGGATCCGGCAAATTCGAGAGGACAAATTTGGACTTGAGACGTTTTCATGCGCGCGCCAAACCAGAGCCAAACTAGCGGACGATCAGTGGATGAGGAAATTGTGCCCGTTCCGTTCTCCATTTTCCGCGGGATCGTTAATGGGAGAAAACGGGGAGTTTGTGTGGTCGCGCGCGAGGAAACGTTTAGCTTGGGAACGTAACCGGGTGCATCCGACGGCGATTGTCGTCTCCCATTCCAAGTGGCGATTAAGCCGTCCATGATGCCGCGGAGGAACAATCGCAGGACAATGCCGATGTCATGAATCATCGTTCAGAGGAAAGATGACGTTTATTTTAAGAGCTATTTTTAAAAGGGGAATCAATAATTTCAAGAATATATAATGTAATCGATTTGAAGAATATAAATGGGTGTTATCTGTTATCTGTTATAAAAAGAATGTCTAATTTAAAAAATACCTTGCTCTATTTTTTTTAAGAAACGTAGATTCTTATTTATCTTGCGCTATTTTTTTTAAGAAACGTAGATTCTTATTTAAGACATGCGGTCTTATTTAAGCCGCTGATTTTCCAAAGTAGGGCAAGAGTAAAATCCAGAAAGCAAGGAAAGTTAGGTAATAAGATGCACGTTTGATGTTCCTGCTTTAGGAAAATTTTCTAAATTTGAGTTATACGTTACTTTTAAACAAGGCACCTATATAGCTCGATTCCGCGGTATCATACAAGAGGTAAGCCTCGTAATACCACCGTGCAAACTTCCTCTCGCAGTCTTCCTCCCCGCACTAATGCAAAATTTATTCCCGTTGCAACGCTGAATATGAAGGCGTAGGATGGCGCGGCGCGCTCGCAAATACGACTCGCGCGTGTAATGCCCCGTTGAGAATATCGTCACTCCTGGTAGTTTAATCCGCTGGGTGTAACGGCGATTCGTCACTGAGTACCTACGCGTAATTAATCGTCGGGGGCCGACGCCGTGAAACGCGCGTGCATTTATCACGCGTATTATGGCACGCGAGCTCTCGTTATTGTGCTAACGCTGGACTTAGATGTTTCTGGGCTCCGCTATTGTATCGCAAACAAGAGTTTACGCCACCATCCGTAAATGCTTCAATTATTCCGAGCGCGATGCAAAACAAAAGTAATTCGCGCTCCGATGAGCCACGATTAAAGATCCCCCGCGATACTGCAGGTTACTCCTAATGCGGTAATTAAGCATTTAAACGCTTAACTCACTCCTACGCAAATTACAATGCCGGTTAGTGCCGTGTACAAACGAGGTGAAACGGCCGACAGCAACGCTGTGCTGAGTCGAGAGCGAAGTTACGATAACTACATATGAACACATAATGTCGGCGTCTCTAATTAATTTTATTAACGTATGTTTTTGTACCAGCCAGCATAATATCTAATATCACTGTTTGCTGTTGCAACAGTTTTAACTGTTTTATTTACAAAATTAAGATTTATTACTTTTATAATAATGTTTATGTATGTAATAAAACTCTCGCTCAAATCTGTCAAATCCTCGATTCATACGGCATTGTACGATTTACGACTTCAAATCTAATTCTCTTTAGAGAAAGTAAGAATTAAGGATTGCAATTCATCAGACTCAATAAAGTTCCAGTCTGTTCACCCAAATAGCAATTCATCTACGATGCCATAGAAATACAAATTAATCGCGCTCGTAACACTCCGCAATTACCGTCCCGGCGCTTAATTCCCCTAAAGCTGATCACATATGGATCCGTCGGGTTGCGGCGAGGGATCGGTCGGGATGCGAGGTACAATAACGTCGCACCCGAAACGAGGTTGACAGTAAACAATACCAGTCACGAAAAGGGGAGCAAAGTCGATTGCGTGGCTGTCCACTTCGAGGGACTGGAAACTCTCCTACGTTCTACAGTTGTAGAGCACGTTGATGATCCTATTCCCCTTCTTCATAACATAGCACGCGCTACGCCATTTTCCATCGCCTGACAACGACACTTTAGATCAATATCAGTTTAAATTTCGACGTTGTACATAGTTGGAAAATTTCTGTTAAATTTAACACGCTTTACATGCAAATTTTTCGGTTAATTTTATATATAAGCGAAATGTATTATGCAAAAAAATTAACACAAAAATATAACACTGATATAATTTGTTAATAAACTGTGGAAGCATAATATTTTTTCAATATTAACACACATTTATTGTAGATATTTTTTTAGATTATCATGTAAATTTAATTATTAATTAATGTTAAACTAGCACACGTTGTTCGTTGATTCATAAACTGTGTTATTTTAACACTAAAAAATATTAAATATCAATTTAACACAAAATATTTCAATAATGCGATTACATTTTTATGTTAAATTAACTCAGATATTTAATCAAATAATTATACTCAATTCAGTATCTATTATTTCCCGCTTAATTGTTTTTATTAATTATTATTTTAATATTTATCAAGATTATTTACATATTTTTACTAATTTACTTACTAAATTTTATCGAGTTTCAATCCTAAACGACGCTAGTGTCGCAATATCGATAGCATTTATTAATCGGATAATTTCCATGCTAACGCATATCCAAATACTAAAGCGTCGATACTAGCAGATATTATATTGGCATTGCCAACTGGCAAGACGGGAAGAGCGATACCCTGTTATTTGTCCCGCTGGCAGATTAAGATAATGAGCTAACACGAAGCCATCAGGCACTGCACCATACCGCGCCGGTTGTTGGTCCGAGAAAGGCGATCTAGGAAGGGTGAGGGTCCGGAGGGTAGAGATGAGAGACAATGACCGGTGACCATGCGATCCCGCCGGACGAGCCGCGGGAGGCTTATGCCGTATGCGGGAGAGAGGCTCGCTGTGAGAATTATCGTGCGAACCTATCGTCGAGCATGCGCCAGCAATCATCTCGTTCATTCCATGACAGGATGACGCGTGCACCGTCTGTCGCACGATGAAGATGATGAGAAACAATATCTCCATTGATGTACATGAAAACTGCGCGAAAAAATGTGATTCAAGCCACAAATCGAAGGATATTTTTTTTAAAAAGAATATTCTATTAATTTTAGTTAATGTTCCTGTTTAAAACTATCACCCCATAAGCGAGGAAATAATAACAATAATAAAAATTCTTGCAAATTATACTTGAATAAAAACATATTTCAATATAACAAATCGGTATTTACAATCGATAGAATAGACTTATAAAATATATCTCACTCTTAGATTTTTTTTAGAATAATCTATTTAATAATGCATGGATCTCTTTCAAAATATGTTATAATTTAATAGAGAGAATCAGACGCTTTGAAGCTACTCTCACAAAATTCAATATTTCTTACTGTTAAAATAATGCCTAAATAATAAAATATAAATAAATTTACGAATAAATGAACAATCAACCTTTTGTCAAATAATAAAAACAACAACTTTTGAAAAATTAATTTTATTAAAAATCTCAAAAATAAGACAAATTGAAT